TTCAATAAACACTCATGCGACTACCTTGTCAATGACCAGGGAACCTGGAGACACGCTTTAGCCAGGGGCTCTGTTTTCAAAAAACACCAGTTTGATGTTTGGTGAAACATGTTAACATTGAGCCCACAGTACAACCTCTTATTAAAAAAAAAAAAAAAGCCGAAAAGAGAAAAATATAAATAAGTAAACACTCATGGACTCAGCCATACATATACATGTATCCATTCTCCCTCAAATTCCCCTCCCATTCAGGCTTCCACATAACATTGAGCAAAGTTCCCTGTGCTATACAGTAGGTCCTTGTTGGTTTTCCCTTTTTTTTTTTTGGTTTTCCATTTTAAATATAGCAGTGTGTACATACCCATTCCAAACTCCCTGACTATCCCTTCCCCCCATCCTTTCCCCCAGCAGCCATAAGTTCATTCTCTAAGTTTGTGAGTCTCTGTTTTGTAAGTAAGTTCATCTGTATCATTTCTTTTTAGATTGTATATATAAGTGATGTCATATATCTTCTCTGTCTTCGTTGTTCACCTGAAACTATCAGAACACTGTTAATCAACTATACCTGAATACAAAATAAAAAGTTAAAAAAAAACACTCATGGAAAAGACAAATGACATGTTCCCAGAAACAGGGTGGGTGGCTCTACATCTTTTCTCTAGAGATGGTCAGATTTGGAGGAAAAAAATAACATCACACAATAATCACAGTGTAGAAAGCCTCTTATCTATGGACAAGCACACTATATATTTGATCCTTATGACATTGTCGCCTCCATTTTAGGGATGAAGAGATTGAGATTCATGAAGGTTTATAAATAGAATTCCATGCATATGCTCACAAACTTCACTCTCACATAGAGGCACAAGCTTTGGCCAAACTGTGATCAGACCCCCAATTGTTGTTCAGTCACTCAGTCGTGTCCGACTCTTTGCAACCTGATGGAGTGCAGCACACCAGGCTTCCCTGTCCTTCACTAATTCCCAGAGTTTGCTCAAACTCACGTCCACAGAATCAGTGATGCCATCCAACCATCTCATCCTTTGTCATACCCTTCTCCTCCTGCCTTCAATCTTTCCTAGCATCAGGGTCTTTTCTAAAGACCCTGGCTCTTCACTTCAGGTGGCCAAAGGACTGGAGCTTCAGCTTTAGCATCAGCCCTTCCAATGAATATTCAAGACTGATTTCCTTTAGACTCTCAAGAGTCTTCTCCAGCACCACAGTTCGAAAGCATTAATGCTTTGATGCTCAGCCTTCTTTCTGGTCCAAATCTCACATCCATACACAACTACTGGAAAAACCATAGCTTTGACTAGACAGACCTTTGTTGGCAAAGTAATGTCTCTGCTTTTTAGTACACTGTCTAGGTTGGTCACTGCTTTTCTTCCAAGGAGCAAGTGACTTTTAATTTCATGGCTGCAGTCACCACTCACAGTGATTTTGGAACCCAAGAAAATAAAGTCTGTCACTGTTTCCACTGTTTCCGCATTTATTTGTCATGAAGCAATGGGACCGAAAGCCATGATCTTAGCTTTTTGAAAGTTGAGTTTTAACCCAGCTTTCTCACTCTCCTCTTTCACCTCATCAAGAGGCTCTTTAGTTCCTCTTCACTTTCTGCCATGAGGGTGGTGCCATCTACATATCTGAGGTTACCAATCATTTCTCCCCGCAATCTTGCCCACACTGACCACCGGGAGGCAGTACAGTGTCGCTGTGAGAGTCGCTGCCCCACCTCCTACCTACCAGTAGATTTGGACCTGGGTGTGGAGAGGGAAAAGCTAGCACTGAGAAGAGACCACGGGAGAGATTGCTCTTTCAGGATCTGCCAGAAACAGTCCAAACCGGAGCAGGCCCAACGTGCTGCGTGCCAAGTCACTTCAGTCATGTCCGACTCTCTGCAACTCTATGGAGCCCACCAGACTTCTCTGTCCATGGGATTCTCCAGGCAAGAACACTGGAATGGGTTGCCATGTCCTCCTCCAGGGGATCTTTCCGACCCAGGGATCCACCTTGTATCTCTTATGTCTCCTGCACTGGCAGGCGGGTTCTTTACCACTGGCCCAGGGTTACCACTAATTCCAAGAGTCAGGAGCTGAAAACATTAACTGTATACTCCAACTTTACATCACCAGCATATTTAATAACAAGCCACAGGAAGTAACAGGGCAGTGATGAGTCATTGCTGGGGCACACAAGACCTTCAAATTTGGGACACTGGCCTACCGCCTGCAGCAGGGACAAGTCACTAGCCTGTCAGACCACAGCCATCCAGCACCAGAGATGGGACGAGGCCCAGCAGGCACAAGTCTGTCAGCGTCTGCAGCACTGAGCATCCTGAGGGTGTGGCCACTTCGGTGCCCAGGACGCACAACAGTTGCCAGGGGGCCCATTCTTTCCTGGGGGGCTGACCACCCAGGCCCACACCATGAGCACTTCAGGAGGTTGGATGGAGCAGGTCAGAGGCAGCAGCTGTGTGCAGGAATCCCGGGTTGAGGTCTCACCACAGTCCAGGTTTCTCCCAGGCTCTCATCTGTACTGTATATGGATCAAAGGTTCCTTGTGTGGCCGGTAGGACTGGAGCAAAGCGCTCTGGGAAACAGACCATGCCAGGTTTGGGAATCTGTAAGAGATAGCAGCCCCCATCTTTGCTGGAAAGGGAGCCAAGGAATGACAACCCTTTCCACCTCAGGGTGAGACTCAGGGTTTAGAGGAAGAGTAAGCCAAGATGTATGTTCACGCATGTGTGGACCCAGCCTTTCCATCAAGGACAGTGCAGGCTAATGGAGCTTGTTGGGATCCAAATGCCTGGCCTCACTCCACGGCACACCGACCTGCAGTCATCACCCCTGCCACTCCTAACCTGAGCCTGACAGATGGCGCAACAACAGCACCCATTTCCCAATTTTCTGAATTCCTTCCTTCCCCAGTCAGTCTGACAGCCTTGACCAGGGTCAGAGTTTCTTAGCAAACGTCTCAGGATCTTCCTCCAGGAACACTGAGGTCCTCCACAGCACACACCATGGGCCAGCTTCCCAGGCACTGAGCTGAAGGGACAGCAAAGACAGGAAGTTGGATGAAGAAAGTCTTTGCTTACCCCCTCTTCTTCACCCCACCGCACCATCCCCAGCCCTGCCTGGGTGTGAGCAGACACCACGATGCTGGGGACACAGCCTTTCCTGCCATCAAATCTCCCTACACTCCCTAACGCCACCCAGACTTGAACCCAAAGGCCAATCCAAGTCATCATCTTGACCTCTGGTCCCTCTGCCCTGTCCACTTGGATTTCCATAGATGTATATTCCAGCTGACCGTCTGAGCTCACCCCACCCTCGTGTTCAGGCCAGAAAAGCTGAGCCCAGCTGTCTGGGAGTTATTGTGGCACCTGGGAGGCCATTCACAGCAGCAAGAAGGTATCCAGCAAGGCTGCTGGGGAGCAGGGATGGGAGAGAGGACACCAAGGAGGAGAGGGGAGTTGGGGTGCCAGTCCCAGAAACCATATGCCAAATGTGTGGTGTGAAGGTTCATTCTTTTGGGGAGAGAGGCCATATTTTGCATCAGCATCTCAAAGAGGGGTGAGAAATTAGGGAACGAGAGAACAGAGCAAAAGGGGCGACCCAAAGGGTCCTCACTCAGGGATACCACCCCCACCCCCGAGCTCGAAATCAATCAGGAGACCCAGGGTGCAGTTTCGGCTCTGTCATTCACTAGAGCAGGTCACTTTCTTCCCTCTGAGCTTTCCCATTTGTAAAATGAAGGCCTCACCGCAGACATGGAGACTCTGGCCCAGCTGGAGAAGGAGGAAAGTGCACAGGCTGGAGATGGGAGACAGGATGGAAACACAGCAGAATGTTGTGGGCAAGGGGGCAGATGAACTGGATACAATAAAAAGAAGGAGCTCCAGCCCCTCCCCCGGGACACAGCAAAGGGCGGTGGGGAATGTCCCTGGGCCCAGCCCCGCTGCCGTGGGCCAGGAGCAGTCACACACACCCCTCACTGCCCTGGCCAGCGCTTTCTCCAAGGGGTGGGGGCGGCGTGCCTGAGGTGAGAAGTCCACAGCTCAGCAAGTCCAGTGCGGCACAGCTGCCCGGGATTAACACCACATCCTGGGCTCCTCTGCGGAGGGATCACACGTCGTCGCCTTCACAGCTGCTTAGCTGCACGTTGCCCACTCAGGCCCCTCACCCCCAGCGGCCCCTCCTCACACACGCCGCCCTCCCCTCTCAGGGGCCAGCCAGGACGCTGCCTCTGCCTTGGCAGGCCAGGAGAGGGGCTCTACAGTGGAGGGGCAAGAGAGATCAGAGGCACCTCCAGAGAACAGCCGCACCCACAAAAACCCAGGAACCCCTAGGTGCGACGCGAAATAGAGACGGGCAGAGAAGGCTTCCCTCGCTGGCGCCTATGGCTCGGCCCGAGACAGCCTTGGCCTAGAATTACCTTGTGTTTAGGCCACCCAGGCCCTTCCCTCCAGATGGTTCCTGTCCTTGGGGAGGGAGAGGCAGGAGGGCCAGATGGAGCCCCTACAGCTGGGAACCCTCAGCTCCAGCCTCCTGGAGCAACGTGCTTCTGAGGCCCCCCGGCTGTTAGGAACCTTGTCACCTTCCCCCACAAGCACACCCCAAAGCTGCTTGCTCTGGGCCACGTGCATTCTCCCCAACCCGAGGGGGGTGGGCAGCACACCTCTCCATCCCCCAGAGTCATCCAGGCCCCTGGTTCTGCCCTAAGACTCAACCCACACCCCCATCCCTACCTCGAGAGGGAGGCCACAGTGAGGAATTTTACTCAAATCTCCTCTGGGGGGAAAGGCTTCGGGAAGGAGAGGAGGGGAGAAAGAAGAAGCCGGGGCCTGGGATGGCTGCATCTCTATCACCTGTGCGAGCGCACCAACATCGCAGCAGGGCTCCCCGCTGCAGACGTCGGGTGCTGGGGGGCCGCTCCCTCAAAGTCTGGCGTGGAGTCCACGGACCGCCGGGAGGCCGCGACCCCCGAACGCAGCCGGGCGCCTAGGAGTCGTCGTCGTCATCGATGCTGGCGCCGCCGGGTTCGCCCTCCCGGGACGAGCGCAGCTCTCGGGCCAGCAGCGCCGTTAAACCCTGGGCGCGGAGCAGGAGGCCGGCGCCCAGGAAGAGGACCCCGCAGAGCACGAGCAGCGACAGCACACCCAGCACCGCCGCCTGCACGGCGCGCGGCCCCTCGGGGGGCTCCGGCGGCGCCCCCGACTGATTGCAGCAGGAGCTCTGCCAGGTGCCCCGGGCTGTGGAGCCCGCCTGCGAGCTGTTCATGCTTCGGCGCCGGCTGCCCAGATGCGCTGAGGACCGCCAGATGTGCGGAGCCCAAGGCCGGCGGGTGGGAGGCGGCTGCGTCGGGGAGGGGCCCAAGGGGCGGATCCCAGATGCCGTGCGCCCCCACCCCTGGCGCAGAGCTAGGAGGCTCTTTCTAGACAAAGGGCTCGTAGCTACCGCCCAGAATCCCGGGGGCCGGTGTATACTTCTCAGCCCAAAGGCCCACACGCCCATTCATGTGAACCGGCCCATGCACCCAACCAGACAAAGCCAGTCGTCCTGTCCCCAGGGCTCTCCCTCCACCACCCCCTTAGAAAAGGTCAGGAGATAGCCCTCTCTCAGAACCCTTAAGCCATTCTAGACCACATTTCAGGTGCTGGCCACGGTGCTGCCCCCACTGAGGAAGACACAGTGCTCCTAGGCTTTCTGTCCCTGGGCCGAAATTAAATGATGCTTGGGCTTCCCTGGTGGCTCAGAGGGAAAGAATCTGTCCGCCAATGCAGATGTGGGTTTGATCCCTGGGTCAGAAGATTCCCTGAAAAAGGAACTGGCTACCCACTCCAATATTCTTGTCTGGGAAATCCCATGGACAGAGGAACCTGGCAGGCTAAGTCCATGGGCTCACAAGAGTCAGACACAACTTAGCCACTAAAAACCACCAACTACCTAGGTGCCACTGGGACAGCAGGCAAATGAGCAATGTCTAGAACCTTAGTGATGCATAGCCTTCATCACCCCCTCGGGACCTTCCTGGGGTTGGATAAGTGGGCCAGTACCCACCTTGGTCCCAGGTGAGATGGAGGGGAGGAGGAATTTAAGGCCTGCCCCCATTCCTCTGCTCAGGCCCAAGGTCAAGGAGAATTACAGATCAAGGGGAAAGATCTGAGTCACCAGGGCTCCTGTCCTAACCTTGAATAAACCAGTCCCCTACCCCTGGGAAGTCACAGTGCCAAAGGGGATAGAGATGCTATTGAACTGCCCACTAAAGGGAGCCTGCCTGCCAACTGGGTGTCCCACAGCCAAGCCAGGGTGAGAGTCTGGAGCAGAGCCTGGCTGCAGAAAAGAACGAAGTCTGGGAAAGCTGGGATGGAGGAAAGACCCTCCTGCCCCGGTCTCCTGAAAACTCCTGTAGCAACCCTGAGCCCTGTTTAAAACAAAGTCACTGTTAGTGAACAGCTGAATCAGCCAACTCCTCAGAGGAAATGAGTTGGTCTAAGGAGAAAAAGGCCCCCCAGACTGCAGCAAGTCAGGTAGGATCACATCTCATTAAGGAGTTGCTGACAATGGGCCTTCCCCATCTCCAAACCACTGAGAACCTCTTGAGTTCTCCAATTCACCAGTGCCCCAGAGGCCAAGGGTAGGACATCACAAAACCCTTCATGAAATTACACATGGCTGAAAAGTGGCCTGAAATGAGAAAAATGTGCAAACACTTCCTGGCCATCCTGGCACCTATCTGCTCCAGGACCATGGACAAGACCCCCAGACCCTGGCCATTTCTCCTTTAGCACTGCTGCTTGCTTGCACACTGTTCATTTAGTTTGGTTAGAGCTTGCCCCTGTGTAACAAAAAGCATTGTAAAATATGGAAGAATAAATCAATGAAAAGCACACTGATCTTGACAATGTTTGCCTAGAAATGGATGTGAGATACCAACGTGAAACTGTTAGTTGCTCAGTCATGTCTGACTCTTTGTGACCCCATGGACTGTAGCCCAAAGGAGCCCACCAGGCTCCTCTGTCCATGGACTCTCCAGGCAAGAATGCTAGAGTGGGTTGTCAGTCCTTCTCCAGGGGATCTTCCCAAACCAGGAATCAAACCCAGGTCTCCTGCATTGCAGGCAGACTTTTTACTGTCTGAGCCACCAGGGAAGCCCATGTCGCCCAAACCAGAAGTGTCACAGGACACCAGTCTCAAGGTGGCCAATCTCTCTCCAGAGGGAGAAGACACCAAGTCAAATGAGCTTTCTGTGCAAGTGGGGGCCTGTGTGTGCTCTACGGAGACAGAGGAGATATTCTTTGGGGTCATCTGATAATATAAATCCCAGGGACGGAGAAGCCTGGTGCGCTTCCGTCTATGGGGTCGCACAGAGTCGGACATGACTGAAGCGACTTAGCAGCAGCAGCAGCAGATAATATAAAAGGCAGGTCATAGCTTCCTTAGGGAGGAGCAATAGCACAGCCATATCCAGAAGCAGCAGATCCTGATCTGTCATCATTTATGGGACTGACTGTGGTCACACTTGCTTATGTGAATGTCCGACAAAGTACAAGATCGATCAGCTTTAATCTATCTTCAATCACATCATGCACCCCCATCTTGGAATAATGCCCTCAACACACTGTGTTCCTTGAAGTTCTGCCAGAAAGTGTTAAAATGTTTTAGGGCGTAATACCAGTCAAGGGAGAGACTCAACCCAAACTCACACTCTCAGCTTTATTCATCATCCTAGTGATGGCTCCTCTGTACAATGTAGGAAAGGGGTAACCCCCCCGAAACCAGGAGTATGGAGAGACAGTGCAGGCCAGACCTGACCGTCAGTGAAAGTGACAAGGACGACCACAGACTGGCATCCACAGCACAAGGAAGCCAGGGCGGCCCTTCCCAGTCTCATCAAGGACCCGGAGCGGGTTCCAGAGCCCCAAGGGCCTAACAGTACTTCCCCAGAAGCCAAGGTCCGTAAGCCATCAAGGAGCACCGAGGCCCTGGAGAGACCTAGAGGGCCAGGGTGTCTTTGATGAGCCTGCGCATGGTGGTGGTGACGGAGGAGCCCAGGGCGTCGGTGATCTGGAAGGAAATCTTATAGAGGTAGGGCTGCACGTCCCGCAAGCCCGTGTCGAACACGTTGTCCACCTCTGACTGCGTGGGCATCTTGGGCAGGTACTCATGCCGGTTCATCACCTCCACAATATTGATGATCTTCTCGCAGAGCTTCTCCCCTACCTTCTCCCGGCATATCTGCCGCTCCTGCTCTGTGGCCAGGGCCACCACATGCACCTTGACTGTCCATACCTCCCAGGGGATGCACTCATCGGAGAAAGGCCAGCGCGACTTCTTCTTCTGGTAGAACTCCAGGGACATCTGCCCCAGCCCATCGCCCCCGGAGTTGCGCAGAGCATCCTGGGCAAGGAGGAGCAAGAGTGAGCAGGCCAAGGCCTCCACTGGGTTCTTACCCTGTGAGGGCCAGCTTCCCAAGCCCCAGTGAAAGCTCTTTATCAGACCTCCGGGGAGGGCAGAGAACGAGACCCAGAGAGTAAAGGATTTGTATAAAGTGACACAAATGGCTCCTCTTAAGCAGAACCCTCCTTCATTCCCTCAAAGACAACCTAAACTCACAGTTTCTAAAGAAAAGCCCAGTGATCCTTGAATAGAGAGACAGAAGCCAAGGAACAGAGCGGGGTGGGAGGGGAAGGACAGACCACATTTAGAGCTTCTTCCTCTTTTCCTCTGAGAAGCAAATGGGGCCACCTGGTCTAGTAAATCTGCCTGTCCCCCCATGGGGTGTGATGGCCCACACTCTTCCTCCCAGTGTAGCCAAGACCCTAAAGCACCTTTCTACCTTTCTCTCTGAGTTAGGGCCAACCCAAAGGTAAGGATGCCTCCCTCAACTCCTTAACAGCCCACCAGGAAGTAAGTCTCTCCTTTATTGACAAACCAAGCTCCCATTCCCTCTGCTGACGGTAACAGCAGCTATCTCTTCTACAGTGTTTCCTGTGTGACGGCTCTCCAGCACTTGACCCATCTGACTCACTTAATCCTCGTGGTGCATATACCCTATGAGATGGGTACAGCTTTCATTCCAAATTTACATACAGTGAAACTGCAGTCCAGAGGAGCAGAGTCACTTGCCCAAGGTCACACACTTGTGGGTGGTAGAGCCTGGCTCGAGTCCATGCCCTTAAGAGTCCACTGTGTTTCATGTACCTCTCATTGGCATCTGGAGGACAGGGGTCTGAATACCACTGCCTCCCCTGAAGCGGGGCTGGGAAACTCATCAATTTTCCCTTTCTAGGCTAGGAGCGATGGGAGGGCGGGGATTACCCTGTGGCTGGTAGAGAGTCCACCCCCTATGAGGATCACACGTCTATGGAATGGAAGCCAGAGAGACAACCCTCCTCCTCCGATCTCAGGGAGGGCACTTTAAGAGAAATTCCCTTCGTTACTTTAAATTTTAAAAATATGCACTCACTGAAAGAATGAAACACTGCAAACCTGAATGCAGACAGAATTAAAAATCACACCTCCATTCCCACCCCGAGATGACCAATGTGAGCAGCCTGGTGTGTCCCTTCCACCTTTCTCCTGGCCCCTACAGGCCCACACAGACACCTGCCACACTGCCCACAGGACCCTTCTCTGGGACAGCCACCGCCTGAGCCCAGCAGCCCTCCCTCTCAGGGCATCTCATATGAGAAAGGCCCGAATGTGGAAGCAGAAGCAGAGAGGTGTCAGTAGAGAGGAGGTCAAGAGTGCAGAGGCGATGATCAGCCCAGGGGCGCTGGCTGCCAGTGCTCAAAGGGCTGCCTGCTCTCCTTGCTGGTATTTTTACAAGGCCCCCTCCCCTACCCCCCTACCAAGCACTCCCCACCCAGAGGAGCTCTGAACATGCCTGTTCCTGAGAACCTCAAACAACCTGACATGCACACCCAGGAAGGGTAAGCTGGTCCAGCAGCAAGGAGGGGACGACACGCAGCAGCCCCCTGCCGCCCACTGCACCCCACCTTACCCTGAACTCCCCGACGACCTTGCGCAGAGCGCGGTCCAGCTCCTCGGAGGAGACGCGCACGTAGGTGAAGTCGATGAAGTCGCAGTCCACGTCCTGGGTGCCCACGGTGCCGATGGAGTAGGTGCCCTCCTTCTTGTAGTGGAACTTGCCGGTGCTGCGGTGGAGGAGCACTGTATGCAGCACGGCCAGCATGGCCTCCTCCACCTGCCGCCCCTCAACCGACACCTCCAGCACCTCCGAGCGACAGTTCATCTTGTAGCTGGGGGCCCACGCTGACGTCAGGGGCCAGAGGAAAGACGGTGGAGCTTCACCCCACCCAGGGGCCACCCTGCAAGAGGAGCCGGGTCAGAATGTGGACACATTCTGCCTGATTGGCGTGTCACCTGTTCACGTCCTTCCAGGCCCAGCCCTGTCCCCTGCCACCATGGCCCTTCTCTGCTCTGTAGCCGCATATGCTGGCAGAGGACCACTGACTCTTGGGGTGGGAGATGGGGAGAGCAGCAAAGCTACCAGTCCAAACACCCAGCTCCGGCCTGAATTCCGTGACAGCATCCAGTGTGGTTTACAGCACATGCTCACTGTGAACCCCTGCCAGCTCCAGCCCTTGAGAAGCTGCCAGGATGGAGGACAGACAGGCAGGTAAACATCACCAGAGTAGTGAGACTCCATGATGGGAGTGAGAAGAAAAGGAAGACTGGAATCTGATCTCCTGGGACCCTGAATGACCAGGCATCTGGACTCTGTCCCGAGGGCAGTGAAGAGTCCATGCATCCCACTGTCCAACACTGAATCTACGCATCAGAAAGTTAACTCCAGCCGACGGGTGAAGAATGGTTTGTCACTATTTGAGGGGTCAGAGACTGCTCTGAGAAGTCAGTGAAAGCTAAGAAGACTGAACTTGAAAACATGACTGACACATACACACCAAATCTCACAGACTCTGAGGTAAAAATTTGCCAATTTAAGGGACTCTCCTGGTGGTCAAGTGGCTAATACTCTGTGCCCCCAATGCAGGGTACCCAGGTTCGATCTCTGGTCAAGGAACTAGATCCCACATGCCCCAGCAAAGATCGAAGAGCCTGTGTGCCGCAACCAAGACCCAGTGCAGCCAAATAAAAAAAAAAAAAAAAAAAACCTTGTCAATTGAAGGCAGAAAGGGTTGGGCAAGGAGTCTAGTTAGAGACCACCACAGTCGTGCCATTTCCAGACAGTGCAATGGGATGTGGCAGAGTGATGTGCAGAGTGTGGGGTTTCCACATCCAATGGCCCAGGGTCCGAATCCCAGGTCTCCAGTATCTTGCTCTGTGACCTTAAGCCAATCACTCAACCTCTGAGTCTACTTTCTTATCTGTAAATATAGAATAAAATAACACATGTGAAACACAGCAGGGACGCTAAAGCCAGACTGCCTGGGTTGGAGCCCCAGCTCTCTCATCAGCTCACTGTGTGATCAAGGGCATGTTGCCTCACCCCTAAGTGCCTCAGGTTCCCCAATCCATAAAATAGGGATATTCACAGTAGCTACCTTGAAGGGGTCCTCTCCAGAATGGGGTGAGTTAGCATCTGTAAAGCACTTGATGCAGTTCCTGGCAAGCACGAAGCATTCAGTATGAGCTGCTCTAATTACTACATTGTTATTGCTGAGAGATGACGCAAGGCTAGGACAGGACTGGTGGAGGGAGTGGGAAGGGAAGAACAGACTTGAGAACCAGAACTTCATCAGTAACTGAATATGAGCTGAGAAGGAGCGGGAACAGTCAAATTTCTTAGCTGAGAAGGTTCAGCTTACACACCTCCCCTGACAGAGAATTCACCTCTCCCAGCAGGTCATTCCAGTCTTTTTAAAGTTCTATTCAGAGACTCCCTCTAAGGAAGGGCTTTGTCTCTTAGTGCTTTAAACTGCTAATCTTAATTCTGAAATCAAGAGTCACGCACAGAAGAAGTCCCACCCCTTTCCCACAAGGGAGCCTTTCAGATATTCAAAGGCAACTGTGCCATCATCCCTTTACCCCTTCTACAGGTTAAAGGTCTCCAGTCCCCATAAACATTCCAGCTTCACATCACATCTTAATTCCTCAAGGGCAGGCAACTCTCTTCAAAGTGTACTGGTTTGTCTCTTTGCCCCTGAAATCAGGGAGGCAGTCCACAGACCACTCAAGAGATCAAGCTGGCTCTGTCTCTCACCTGGCAATCAGCCCAAGACTACCTGCATCATCAGTTATCTTTTCACAGGTGTTAACCTTGTCTGGTCTCTCCTACTAACAGACAGTTCCTTAATAACAGGAACTGTATCCTATTCATCTGCGGAATCTCAGTATACCTGGTTCCTAGTACATAGCAACTGCTCAATTCATCCTGAAAGGATTGCTGGACTGATTTCTCCTATATATACTTTCAGGATGAGCAGCCCTTCTTGCTCATTTCTGCCCTCTAGTCTAACTCCATTCAGCAGTTTCACATCTGAAAACTCCCAGCTCTGGTCCAACTCTGTTTTCTTCCACAAACCCCCTCTGGTATCCCCCACAAACCGTCAAACAGGCCACCCCTCTTTTCACTTTTGCCCCAAACCCAGGTTCTTCCCTCATTCTCAGTGCTATTCAAGATTCCACTTCAGGAAGTCAACACGAACCAACCTCAGCCTCCTTCCCAACGCGGCCACCTTTGTTCTGTGATGAGCTTGTCTGCTCCCTCACCCTCGACGCCCCGTGAGCAGGGGACTTTGCCAGGGCAGTGCCTGAGAAGTCTCGTCCCTTCGGTGCCCCCCAAGGCCCAGGTCTGCAGAGTACCGGGGCAGACGCTGACTGATGCCTCCTCTGAGTCAGGCCGGAGCCCAGGGTTTCCCCAGCCTCACCTTACGCGCAGAGGCTGGCACGCGGGTCACTCAGGCTGGACCTTGCCCTTTCTCCTCCTCACGCACAGGTACGCCCTCCGCAGGTACGCCGAAACCTCCCCGCGCGCCACGAGCCGCAAGAGACAGGCTGAACACAAAAACACAAAGTTATTCGGCTCCGCATCGAGAGACCCTGTCGGACGCAGGAAGGACTTCCCGTCCCGGTTAAGTTTCTCCCGCCGCCAGTGCCGGCGAACCTCCACGGTCCAGGGACGCGGGAGGAGCGGAGCCCCGCGCCCAGCCAGGCCAGGCCCAGGAGTTCGAGGCGCGCCCGCACCCGCGCTCGCACAGGACAAGGGCCACACAGCTAGAACTGTCTCCCACCTCCCAGAATCCCCGTCTGGGACCCGCGGCGGAAGAAACGACCCTCCCCGAAGAGACCAGATCACCTCCGCAAGAGGCGGTGCCGGCGCCGGAAGACCTGGCCCGCCCCTGCGAGCCCGGCCGGTCCCACCTGCTCCATCGGCCTCCGGCGGGGGCGCGAGCACAGCTGGCCGAACCCTGGCACCAGTACAGATGCCTGGACCGTTCTACATCCACACCAGCGGGCAAAGACAACCGTTTGGTGCTCTATACGTTGAAGATTGCTTTCTTCTGGATTATGTCTCGGATTTTAAGATTTGACGGTAAGAAGTATCCCCCTCGTTTGGACGAGTCCATTTAACCCCACCACCGAGGATGTTGTTGTGTTTCGGCTGGAGCAACTCACTTCCGCCATAGAGATGAGAGGGAAGGAAGGGCCTGACGAGCTCTGTGCCGCCTCCCTAGGCGGAGAGGAGTCATCGGCAGAAAGCCACCCCTGGGACCGAGACGTGGTTCCCAATTCTGGTCTCAGAGGACTGGAAGAGGTACCGATCCCCTAAGATGAGGGACATGGCATTTGGAGAGATGCCCTGGAGATGAGCTCAGACTAGTGTTCTGAGTGGGAAAACTTTAGTTGGTTCAATGTGCATGATGGAAGATACCAGGGAAAGCGGGCTTAACCTTACTCGGTTATCTTCACACAGGAGCATTTCTTGGTGCTCTGCCATGACCGGTCTGGTGACTGTTCTTATAAAGCTTGTAATTCTGCCATTGCCTCTGTGTGGGCCTCTTGATGTCATTCAACCTTTCTGATTTCCTCCTTTATAAATGGGGCCTGGGGAAGGGGAAAGTAGCCAGTCTGACAGGCCAACATCCTCCTCTAGAGCCTGGACTTAACCAGAAGGGAATCAGGATGAACTACTGAGAGGGGAGGATCTGTGAGAAGGCGAAGGAGGGGGAACCAGGGGGCTTAGAACCAGCCCTGGGGAGGGGGAGGAAAGAGCCTAGGGACTTCTCTGGTGGTCCAGTGGTAGAGACCCCGCTCCTCTGCCGCAGGGGAAGCTGATTCGATCCCTGGTCAGGGAACTAAGATCCCGTATGCTATGCGGCATGGCCAGGAAAATAGAAAAACAGCCTAACTTCCTCAGGCTGCCGGAGAGTGTGGGGAGTGACTGAAGGCACTCTGTACCCTGACACGCTCACCTCCGGAGCTTTCACTGCCACTGTCCTGACATCACCATCCTCAGAACTACCTGTCACGGAGCTTTGCAAGGCACCACACCAGCACTTCACATGCACTAGTGTGCTGATTTCTCCAACTGCCTTGGAAATTAAGTATCATTTCTCCCCAGTTTACAGATAATGAAACTGAGGCTCAGGGATATAGAGTGACATGCTATGATGGCATATTTTATGCATCAACCTGACTGTGCCACAGAGTGCCCAGACATCTGGTCAAATATTATTCTGAGTGTGTCCATGAGGGTGTTTCTGGAAGAAAAACATTTGAATCACAGACTTAGTGTGGCTTCCCTGGTGGCTCAGTGGTAAAGAATCTGTCTGCCAATGCAGGAGATGCAAGAGGCATGGGTTCAAATCCTGGGTCAAGAAGATCCCCCCAGAGAAGGAAATGACAACCACTCCAGGATTCTTGCCTGGGAAATCCCATGGACAGAGGAGCCTAGCAGACTATAATCTATGGGGTCCCAAAAGAGTTGGACACAACTTAGGGACTAAACAACAACAAAGCAGATTACCTTCCCTAGTGAGGGTAGTAGTAATAGTGTTAGTAGCTGGGTCGTGTCTGACTCTTTGCAACCCCATGGACTGTAGCCTGCCAGGCTCCTCTGTCCACGGTATTCTCCAGGCAAGAATACTGGAGTGAGTTGCCATTTCCTTCTCTGGGGAATCTTCCTGACCCAGGGATCAAACCTGAGTTTCCTGCATTGCAGGCAGACTCTTAACAGTCTGAGCCACCAGGGAAGCCTCTATGTGTGGGTGGGCCCCAACCATTCAGTTGAAGGCTTGAATAGAATAAAAGGTTCTCACCCTCCCTGATTACTTTCAAGTTGAGACATCAGGTTTTTTTCCCCTACCTTCAGACTTGAACCAAACTATCAGCTCCTCCTGGGCCTCGAGCCTGCCAGCATTTGGAATCACACCATCAGCTCTCCTGGATCTCCAGCTTGCTGACTGCAAATCTTGGGACCTGTCAGCTTCCATAATCACATGAGCCAATTCCTCATAATAAATCTCTTTCTATATATACACATCCTATTGGTTCTATTTCTCTGGAGAATCCTGACTAATACATTTGCCAAGGCCACACAGCTACTCTTTCCTCATTCTGCCAGTCATTTTTTTTTTCTTTTTTCTCTTTATCTTTTGACTATGTCACACAGCATGTGGGATCTTAGTTCCCGACCAGGCATTGAACCCGTGCCCCCTGCACTGGAAGTGTGGAGTCCTAACTACTGGACCACCAGAGAAGTCCTCTGCCAGTATTTTTTCCCACTCTTCTCCCTCCACACCTCACCCCATCCCTGGAGCCTTTTCTGCCCGAGGATGAGGTTGAGACCTCTCACCTCCCCTATCTCGGGCCCAGATCCTGGCCAATCCTTGCCTCCTCATACCTCCCTGAATCCTTAAAGGGCCATTCTCACTGTAACTCTGACCCTAAGTCTTACACCCATCTGGGTGGTCCTGTCAGGAACATAGGGTGGGGGGGTGCATCTCAGCCCCTCAAAATGAGTCTGTGTGGAATGAATTCTCCCATCCTCCACCAGCACTCCTGATGACCCAGATGGAATCATGCAATCATGCTGCACCTGTGAAACTGTCCCCATGCCAGGCCCATGTCCTACCAAGGGGGACAAGTTGCAATCCTGGCCCTCTGGGAAGGCCTCAGAGTCTCACAGAGGAGCTGGACCAGGAGTTGCACCTGGATGAGAAAGCACAAGAAAGAGTATGAAAAAATGACAGCAGGTTCTGCAGGGGCCAGAGGGGGCCAGGATGGAAGCCACTGCTGTAATCCCAGAAAGATGCCTGTGGCCTGGAATAGAAAGTGACACAGTCAGAGTGAAAAGGAGTCCCAGGCCCTGCTCTCAGCAAGTTGGGAGGTGACTGGGCACCAGCAGGAAACCGGGACAACAGCAACCCGAGGAGATGGACAAGAAGGGGGGTTGGCAATTCCTGGACAAGAAGAGGGGTTGGCAATTCCAGGAAGAAGTGGGGCCACAGGGAATTATGCTGGGGAGGCTTCCTGAAGAAAGAGAAAGAAAGGAGCTAGAGGGAGAAGTCTCAGCAAGGGTGGAAACCGAGCGCTCTGAGGCAGGACGGGCCAGCACAGGGGGAGCTGACTTCTCAGTCAGAGTCATGGCCAGCCGGGCAGACAGGCAACTGGCGAAGGCCCTCTGAGGCACGTCTGCGGCAAAAGCTTGTGGAGGGAACTTGAAGGCCAACCCAAGACCTTGGGAGTAGGCAGCTGGCTTCGCAAGGGGACTGTGGCCTCAGATGGCCCCACCCCGTCCCAGTGCACCCAGGGGAGAGCTAAGCCCTGAAGCCACCCCCGGCCGCTCCAGAGCTGACCCCCGTGCGTCACAGGGAGTGACTCAAGCCTCAGCAGCAACAATGAGTGGGACTGACGTCAGGCTGGGGGCCCCTGACAGTGGCCAGCTTGGCTGGGCAGCCGGCACCCTGCCTTCGACCCTCTAGTCCGAGCCAGGACGCGGGGGCGAGGAGGACCAGCTGTCCGCTTCTGACATCTGCCCCCTGGGGTCCTGGGCAAGGGCTACTCTGCTTCCCACTCTTTCTGGGCTGTCACTCCCACCGCCACCACCCTCCCCCCCCACCCCCCCTCGCCGCCCCCTTCAAGGCAGAGGAAATGGCTGGGCGGACGAGAGAGGGACAGAGAGCGTGAGAAAGAGGGGCCTCCCAGCCCAGCCTCGTCAGGAGCCTCAAGACCCGGGCAGGGCAGGAGGTGGCACAGTGGCTGCCCTCTGCCCCGGGATGCGTGGGGCTCTGTCCTTTTGTGATGGCGATGTCTCTGTCTCCCTGAAGATCTGTGTTTATCTCTCTGGCCAGCTGGGGTGGGGCTTTGTCTCTGTGTCTGTCCCCCAGAGGGAAGGGGTCAAGCTCTCCTTCCTGCAAGGTCTGTGCCTCTGTTCCTTTGGGAGGTGTGTGCATGACTGTTGTTCTTTGGGGCAGAGGATTCTGCGAGACTATCCATGCAAGAAAAGAGGCCTGTTTACCCACCCTTCATAAGGGAGTGTCTCCACCTACTCCTGGGGGGGGTGGTACTTTTCTCTCCCAGGTTTCCCATTGGGCAGGGTCACTTCTGTGTCTATCCTCATGGTACCCCAGTTACCTGGGATGGGTCCAGGTCTTCCACTTGGGTGACCCTGATGCTAGACTCCCTGTGTGGGGGCCCTGTTGCTCTGATGTGTCTGGACGAGGGCAGCAACAGTCAGCACCCTCCCGCCCAGCTCCCAGCTGGGCACTGCTCCCTGCTAACGCAGCATGTACCAAGAAGGGCCCCCCCGCACTCCCCTCCCCGGCCCAGCTGCCACCCCCAGCCCTCACAGCCGTGCCGGCATGATTTATGGTCCTGAGCCAGCACCTGTGTGAGACCTTGAGGAGATCTCAAGTGGCTCCCCCTTGGCCTGGCAGGGTCAGGGCCCAGCAGGAAGCAAAGGGGAGCAGGGGTGGTGGGCAGGATGGCCGGAACATGGGCCTAGGGATGGGGGACAGGAGGCAGACGCCAAGGCCAGAGACTCCAGGGACCCAGGGCCCTCAGGCAGCTCTGAGTCCAGCTGGGGACCCTGAAATGTGCCCCCTGCCCTCAGAATGTTCCCAGCTGCGTGGCAAAGGAGATATTGAGTGGGTGGAGAGGGGATTCCTCAGTCCTGTGCTCCTTCCTGCCCTTCCCACAGCAGACTGGAAGTTTCCAAGTCCCACTGGGCGGCCTAGGCCTTTACCCAACAGCCCCCAGCCTGGGACCAGGACAGGGCTGGCAGCGGCCTGAGCCTGGAGCAGGGAGGAGCAGAGGTTTGGGGCTCCAGGTAACACAGAGCAGCTGCTGGCTGAGCTGTAGGGCTGTAAGACCGGGCCTGGACAGGGCAGCAAGCGGATGGACAGGGGCTCATCCCTTCAGCCTCATGTTCTGAGAAGGCCCAGCAGCCCTGAGGTCACTGCTAAAGTCGGGGGCTTGGTGAGGCTGGGGCTCATCTAGATTTAAGCTAAAACACCCTGGGAATCCCCAGGCCCAGCTCTTACCTGAGGCAACCCAGCACTGCCCTCAACCAGAACAGGCCCAACATAGCTTCTCATAGCCATGGAAGGACATCACTAGACCTGCGGACTGTCCCCAGCTGCCAAGCTCTGACAAATTCTCATACACTTTTCTCTGCAGCCACAAGGCCAGCTACCATCCAGCCCGGTACACTGGACATTCAGAGCAACCGTGAGGTGCCGTACAGCCTGTGAGGGTCAGAAGCTTCTCCGCTTCCTTGAGGCCGACCCTCGTCACCTCCCTCCATAACCACGGCAACTTCTTCCATCCCAGGCCCTAGTGAAGGGCCATCAGCCCCTACTCACTCAGACCTTAGACCTCAGAACTATAGCCCCTTCACTGTGGCACCTCCGGACTGGGGGCCTCTGGGCGCGGGGCCCAGCGTGGGTGAGGTGGGGGACAGAAGGAGGCAGGCTTCCTGGGTCTCCTGTGAGGACAAACAGAAAGCTTTGAGGCTTCGGAAAATCCCGCCTGGGATTCCAGGCCCTGCCGGCGTCACTGCCTTTTGACTATTGTCCCCAACGGAAATGACCCAGCCCCCAGGCTGCAGGGACAGAGCGGCCATTGTGAGGCCCCACCAGGCTCAATGCCCCCTTGTTCGTCCTCCCAGCCCCTAGCAAGACTTGGAGGCCAGTTCTTCCAGTTGCTAGTTGGAAAGAAAGGGCCTGCCTTCAGGCACCAGGCCTTGGGTGGGGCAGGGCGGGGCTGGAGAAGTCAGCACCCCCAGCCTGTGCCCCTATCGCCCAAGTCCTGGAAAGAAGCCACTGTCCATGGTGTTTCTTCAACTTACAAGGCCCTGTACTGGAAGACCTAGTGATTAAATACAGTAGTTAGACCCACCCAGCTCAGCCACTTAGAAGTCAAGTGACCTTGGGAAAGTCATTTCCTTTTCTCTGAAATGGATTCTCCTCTTTGGTGAAAACAATAGCTATTATTTATTGGTGCTTGCTACATGGCAGGCACTTCTGGAAACAACTTTGTATACATTCACCTTGTAACCATTATGGCAACTTTGTAAAATAGATACAACTATTTTCCCCACATACAGATGCTCAAGCTGAAGCTCCAATACTTTGACCACCTAATGTGAAAAGCCAGCTCATTGGAAAAGACCTTGATGCTGGGAAAGGTTGAAGGCAAAAGAAGGGGGTGGATGAGATGGTGAGATAGCGTCACCAACTCCATGGACTGAATTTGAGCAAACTCTGGGAGACAGTGGAGGACAGAGGAACCTGGAGTGCTGCAGTCCGGGAGGTCAGAAAGAGTCAGACACATATTAGCGACTGAACAACAACATGGATGAAAACACTGAGGCTCAGAAGGGTGAAGTGACATGCCCCAAATTTCACAGCTGGGAAAAGATTTTTTAAAAAGCCAGGTAGTCCGGTTCTGGAGTCCTTGCTCTCTTCACTCTCCTCTGTTACATGCGTTCCTCATAGGGTGGTGTGAGGACTAGAAATAGCAAATATATGAACTCAGTGGACGATGAAGCAGGTATGGTAGCTGCTGTCCTTACCATGGTGCCTAGATACCTGTAGGGACCAAAATTCTCCACTGCCCTGCCTGCTTCCTGACCCTGGGAAGCATCTTCTCAAGCACCTTTGCCTTCCCCAGGGGCCTGCCATGTACTCTACATCTGTCTGTGCCAAAGGGTGACCCAAAGGGAGAGAGACTCAATCCAGCTACAGCTGGTGGGAGATTTCCCAGCAAGCTCTGCTCCTAACCAGAGTATTGCCACCAGACTCCCCTCCACATGGAACAGACAGGAAACCAAGGCTCAGTGAGGGAGCGGGGCTTCTCAGAAAGCAGCATGGAGTTGGAGGCAGGGCTGAGAAACGAAGCACATCTCCTGACCACCCCACCCCCTACCCCTGCCTCACCAGGTGCCAGGGCTGTGACAACTCAGGGGCTCTGGCCAGGCTGCCAGGGACATGTGCTTGGATGTTCACACACTGAGGGGGGTGGCAGCCATCATGCACAGGGCCTAGGACTCCCCAGCCCACCCCCACGTGGCCCCTTCAGAAGACCTGGGGTTCAGCCATCATCCCAAAACCTGAGTGAGGGCAGGTGGTGGGGGACTCCCTGGGGAACCTGTAGGCAGGGGCTGAAGCACCACGGAAGGCCCTGGATTCTGTGCTATGGCGGAGCAGAGCCCTGTTTTGTTGAGCTTCCATCAGGCAGGGGCTGCCCTCATTCAGCCAGTTCGTAGAGGCTGTGGGGATGGAGGTTCAGGGGTCCTGGGTCAAGGGTCCTCTTGCACAGAACGCAGGGTAGGGGGCCAGGCCCCGCGTGGCAGCCAGCTACCTTGGACTTCGGTATAGGGTCAGTTCTACATTTGTGTTTCTCCAAAGAGTGGCTCCCAGACCTCCAGCCTCACAGGTACCTGGGTGCTGAGTGAAAGTTGAGCTCCATGGGCCCCGCCCCTTGTCAAATCCCAGTCTCTGGGGTAGAGCCAAGGAATTTGCATTTTAAGCCAGCTAAGCATCTGATGGGCTTGGGAGTTGGAGAACCTACTTGGGGGCACTTGGGCACAAGCAGGGAACTCAGTCTTCCTGCCAAGAAGGTCAGGGTTACCATAACCTGGGTCCTGCTGCTGGGGCACTAGGCTTGTGGGGAGGGATACTGAAAGTGGGGATGGGGAGAAACTTCTACTGAGGACAGTGGCTACCACCATCCTAGGCTGCCCTGGACTCAGCCCTACACTGAGCACCCCACCCACGCTCCCAGGGGACATGTGAGCTGGGGCTTCAGGTTAGGAACTCCCAGGCAAAGCTGGTGGACGAACTGGCCCCCAGCATGAACAGGCCCCATCCACGAGCCTAGCCTGTTCACCAGAGGCTTTCTCCATGTCAGAAACTAATCTGAGTGCTTTGCCTAACAATCCCATGAAGCAGGTGTCATTACTTCCACCTTTTATAAATGAGTAAACTGAGGCCTGTTAGCCAAGTTGGTAACATGCAAGATTTATGGGAGCGAGGGACTTCCCTGGTGATGCAGTGGTTAGGACTCGACACTTCCACTGCAGGGGGTGTGGATTCGATTCCTGGTCGGAAAACTAAGCTCCCATATGCCACCTGGCTTGGGTTGCCCAAAAATAAACAAAGGCTTACAGGAGCCACCTGTGTCTCTATTATGCCATTTTGGGGGTGGGTGGTATGGGTAGAGGGTGCCAGAGATAGACAGGATCTCAGCTTCAGCTACATGTCTATTTTTTATTCAATATATTAAATATATTAATCAGAAAAGTCACATACTATAAATCCAGGAAAATACACAAATATAAATGTCAGAATCTGTCATCTGTCTTCCTCCTAGAGTGAGTCTATGTACATGTGGAAGGAGGGCGGCAAGAGAGTAAGTAGGAGGCGGCTGGTGGGGGCCCATTCCTCCCTCCCAACCCCCACTCCCACCTCAACCTCTTCCTTCCTGTATTTACAGCAGCATTCGGCTTATTTACAGCATGGCGGTGTGTGTGTTAAAAATGGTTTATCTTACAAAAACATGAAGACCAGGGCTGGGCTGGGGGGGTAAGACAAATAGTAAGGGTCACCCCTGTGAATGCATCCCTCTCCCCCAGGGCATGAGCTCCCCGCTGACCTCCCAGACAACAAGGGGGAGGGGCAGCCAGTCTGCAGCTCAGGCCCAGGCCGGGGTGATGCTCCGGGGGTCCGTGGGCCATGGGCTAAAGGCACGTGGGGTGGCATTATGAGCGCGCACACCAAGTGCACGCATGTTCCCGGGCCAGGGTCAGAAGGGCAGCGTGTCCATAAAGATCTTGTCGACGATGGGTGGAGGGGGCACCAGGTCCTCCAGCTTGAGGTAGAAGATGCGCTGCAAGCCCTGGGTGCACAGGGTCCGCAGCTCAGGCAGCTTGCCCAGCAGGCGCGACAGGCAGCTGGCCGGCTGGGGCTCGCCCGCCTCGGCCGAGACGTGCTCCTTCAGGCAGCTGGCGATGCGGTTCTGCAGCTCCTCTACCCGGCGAGGCTCCTGCAGCCCGTGCCGGTCTGCGGTGGAGGGGGAACAAGGTGTGGGATTAGGCGCACTGCCCAGAACCCAACGCCCCTCTCCCCTGCAGAGTCGGCTGCCCCCAGGTCGCTGGGGCTACTGCTACAGACCATCTCCCACGTCCCCCTGAACTCCACAGAAGCACAGGAGCCCCACCAGAAGCCCAGCAAGGCAGCAGTGCTCATCATCCTCATCTTCCAAGGGACAAAGTGAGGCCCAGAGAGGTTACAAGACTTGCCTAAGGTCACAGAGAGGAAATAAAACCTTACACAGGTTTTACTGACTAGCCCAGTGGTTTTTTTGGGGTTTTGGTCGCCCCCAGCCCAGATGGTAAGGAATCCACCTGCAATGCAGGAGACCAGAGTTTGGTCCCTGTGTCAGGAAAATCCCCTGGGGAAGGGAATGACTACCCATTCCAGTATTCTTGCCTGGAGAATTCCATGGACAGAGGAGCTTGGCTGGCTACAGTCCATGGGGTTGCAAAGAGCTGGACATGACTGAGCGACTAACACCCCAGACTATTGTGAGAAACCCTGGGTTTGTGTAGCAGCATTACAGACATCACCTCTAGAGAAAGCAGTGCTCTCTCTGCAGCGAAAGTACCTCAGATTCTGTCCTACAGTTTTTTTGGTCCTATGTAGCCTTGTGAAACTTAACTTAAAAAATTAACTGAAAAAGAGATGGGGCAGGGGAAGTCCCTGGTCAGGGACTTCCCTGGTGGTGCAGTGGTTAAGAATCCGCCTTGCAATGCAGGGGACAGGGGTGTGCTCCCTGGTAGGGGAACTAAGATCCCACATCCCTCAACTAGCAAGGCCCATGTGCTCTGTAGCTCACAAACCATAACTAGAGTCCTTGTGCCACGACAAAAGATCCCGTGTGCCACAACTAAGACCTGATGCGGTCAAAGAAATGAGTAAATATTTTTTAAAAAGAAAGAGATGGGGCAGATTCTGGTGCTTTAACAAATAAAGACCTGAAAACCTCCGCATTTAATGCCAAAAGCTCGTACCTTGCACAATTACATTTACATATTTACACGAAGTACACAACCAACACAGCTAATCAGTGCTGTTAGCAAAGTGGCAGCTACCCTTCGGGGAGCTAATGACTAAAAGGGGGCACAAGGAGGGGTTCTGGGGTCCTGGTCATCGCTGTTTCTTAAAATATAATTTTATTTTTTTAGTTCTTTTTGGCTGTACTGGGTCTCTGTTGCTACGGGGGCTTTCTCCAGCTGCAACGAGCAGGGGCTACGCTCTAGTTATGGTGCACAGGTTTCTCACTGTAGGACTTCCCTTATTGCAGAGTACAGGCTCCAGAGCAGGAGGGTTTCAACAGTGGCAGCTCATGGGCTTCAATAGTTGTGATTCCTGGGCTCTAAAGCACAGGCTCAGTAGTTATGGCACAGGGGCTTAAGTGCTCCACAGCATGTGGGACTCTTCCAGATCAGGGATTGAACCCGTGTCTTCTGCGTTGGCGGGCGGATTCTCTACCACTGAGGCACCAGGGAAGCCCTGTGTCTGTTTCTTGATCTATGTGTTGTTTATGTGCATACACTTTGTGAAAATTTCCATGCAACATGATTCAGTAAAATTAAAAAAAAAAAAAAAAAACTTTAGGCCACACATGACACCTACACAATCAGGATCTTGAGTCGTCTGGGCTACGTCAGGGACTGATGGTTTGCAGTCAGCCACAGCTAGGCCTGAAACTTGGCTCTGCCAACCGCCAACTACATTGCCCTGAGCCATGCCTGCCGTCTCCACATCTCATCACCCTCACTCCACAATGCAGGGGGCCCAGGAAACACCAGATGCTGGCACATCCAGAGCCAGGCCCTCAGGCCCTCCCCATCTCCCTGGGTCTGGGGACCAGCCTCCCACCTGTGATGAGGACAAGCGCAGAGAGGCAGGCGAAGGCAGGGATGTCGACCACCAAGCTGTGCAGGGAGCGAGAGAAGGCCAGGATGCTGTCGATCCAGTCCCCAAAGCCACGGGCGCATTGCAGGCGGTGCAGCACCAGGCCTGAGCAGAAGATGAGCTTCCCCTCGGCTGGTTTAGACCTGGCAGGTGGGGGTGCAGACAGCCGTCAGGGGGCGGGGTGGGGCTGGAGGGCAGGGCGCTGGTCGATGGCTGAACACTCAGTGGGATGCTCACCGGTAGGCCAGACGGAGAATAAAGAGCTCCAGAAAGGCAGACTCCAGCAGCAGGTCCTGGTCTCCAGGAGACAGCTCGGCAAAGCCGGGGATCTTCTCGGCCCACTTGCGGATCACCTCCAGGGAACCCGAGAGCAGGTCGTAGAACTGCTGCACATCCCCAGCATCCTCTTTCCCGAAGTGGGGCAGTGCCAGCTCCTGGAACTGGCAGGTGGTCCAACGGGGTCAGACCCCAGGAAGAGCCCCACACCCAGGCGGCTGTGTGCAGCCGTGTCACGCCCCGGGATGCCAGACCCCAAGGGTGAGAACAGAGCCGAGATCCCGCCCACGATTGCTTGCCAACTTCTCGCCTGTTAACCCAGAGCTGAGGCTGCTGGAAGGAGCACATTTTTTTTAAATTGGCCACTGCCCAGAGGGGTACATTTTTCCATCTGGTCAGCCTAGAGGGGCCAACCCTCTTTTCGATCTGTGGAACTGGGGGCTGGGCGATGGCTTTCTCACGTGTAGGAAGTGCCAAACGTGGGCTGGGCAGGGCCTCACCTTGGAGTAGTCCAGTTTAGAAGTGCTGGGCCCCGAGTCCAGGTGTGCCCGGACCAGGGAGGTGAGTAGGTGGGCTGGGGAGGTTTCTGGGGGCTGCTTGGGCTTTGAAGGGAGCCGACCCCGCCGTCCTTTCAGGCTGTCTGTCCGGACAACTGCAGAGAAACGGGCAGGAGTGAGGCAAGGAGAAAGGGGCCCAGGTAAGGGACTCCCAGCCCAAGCTGTGCACCCCAGTGCTAGAAGCATGCCCAAGTATGAGGAGCTAGAGCCCCCGAGAACCCAGGGGACCCTGCAGTGACTTCCGCTCCCACAAGACAGGCAGGTGGACTGGAGGCAGGGGAGGACGTAAGGCCCAGGCATGCCCTCCCCTGCGGCCCACCAGGACAGATGTCCGGCGGTGGAGGGATCTGTGTGCTCCACCCCCCTCCGGCCCACCTCTACCCCTCGGGGCCTGTCCCAACCACCCACCTTCCTTCACCATGCCCACGGCCAGGCACTTCTGGAAGCGGCAGAACTGGCAGCGGTTTCGCCGCCTCTTGTCCACAGGGCAGTCCTTGTTAGCCAGGCAGATGTACTTGGCATTTTTCTGCACTGTGCGCTGGGGGGGGCCAACACGGAACAGGCTGTCAGAGTGTGGGGTGGGGGTGGGGGGGAGCCCAGGGGAGGGGCCTGTTCAGATCCTACTGCCATTGCAGACAAAAGCGCTCTCTGTTCACAACTATTTTTCTAACATTTGGGTGGCAGGGGAGGATAAGATGGATGGGTTGGGGGAGGAAGAAAAAAAGTCTTGGGGACACTGGGGGAGGGTTCAGCCTTACCCTCAGGACACAGGATGAGGGGCAAGGGGCTCCCCAGCAGCCCAGACACTGGCACTTCTTAACGCGCCTGTGTCCGCCTGCCCCTTCCCTGAGGCAGACACGAGAGGGCTGAGGAGGGGCCAGGGGTGGGGACGGGCAGTGAAGCAGGCACCCAGCGCTGGGACAAACACACAGCCTATTCCCAAGTCCACCCCCAGCCCTCCAGCACCAAGCCCTCTCCTCAGATCCTTTCATCTTGTGCCAGGAACACGAGTGCCTGGGCACCCCCCTCCTTCCCACCAGGACCTTGAGTAGGGGGAGGCCAGGCAGAGGAAAACCAGAGGCTGGCCGCAGAAACTCCCCCTCCTGGGTAACCCCGCAGCCTGCACCCTCTGCCCCACTCTCACCCCCTCCCTCCATCTCTCTACCACCCCAGTGTCAGCATGAAGATCCCAGTTCCCTGCTCTGAGGATAGCAGCCCACCGGGCCAAGCCTGCCCTCTTCCTAAAGAGCAGACTTATTGGAAGGAGAACCCAAGTGAAGCTACCACAAAGCCCGCTGGGGTGACAGACCAGCCTGCCCCACTTCTCATAAAAAGCTACACCCAGGGCGGCCCAGTACCTTGAAGAAGCCTTTGCAGCCCTCACAGGTGCGGACACCATAATGCTGGCAGGAAGCATTGTCCCCACACACAGCACAGCGGCCCTCGCCTCCACCCGGAGCCCCACTCCGCGCCTTGGCAGAGGTCACGGGCGCGTCGAGCCTCCCGGAGCCATCAAGGTGGGGAGAAGTGGGCACCAGGCCTGGGAACGCTGTTGGCATGGAATAGCTCTCTCCCTCCCCCAGCTGGTGGGCGGCCTGTGAGGGGAACAGCTTCAGGGGGCTTGGGGCCAGGCTGGGACTGGGGCCGGGGGGAGGGCTGAAGGAAAAGAAGGCCGGCGGCTGGGGGGGCCCAGAAGCCTTGGGCAGCTGCTCTGTCCATGCCCGCAGGCCTTCGTAAGTCTGACTGGGCGAGAAGGGGCCGAAGGAGCCATCCCAGGGAGAGAGCTGGGGTGGCTGGAAGCTGGGCGTGGATGGCGACGGCGCTGAGCAGGGACTGCCATAGTAGTCAGAGCCGCTGGAGGACAGGGTCTCGTCCAGAGGGCCACTCAGCGTGCCCGGGTAGCAGCCGTACACCTGGAAGTCCTCGAACTTGAAGGAAGCAGAGGCTGGGGAGGTGGCTGACGATGAGGACGTGGAGGAGGCTGAGGAGGAGGCCGAGGAGCACGGCTGGGCTGTGCCCGGCAGCTGGTAGAGGAAGGTGTCAAACTCCCCTGTGTAGCCGTCCATGAAGGTGCTGAAGCTGGGCAAGGCGGTAGGGACAGCGGGGGCCGCCTCGGGGCTGGCCAGGTCCATGGCGGGCTTGCTGAGCTCGGGGGTCAGGAGGTCGCTGGCCAGGTGGTCACGGGGTCCTGGGCTTGGTGCTGGTGTCCCATACTGGGCTTGGATACAGGGCATCTCTGGAGAGGGAAGAGACCAAAGCGGGGGGCAGGGAGAAATCAGTAAGGGAGGCCTGAAGCCTGACCTCTAAGTATAGGACCCTGAGCGGCCAGGTGGCAGGACTCCCAGCCAGACATGTGACATTGAGGCATTAGGGCCACGGCCCACCACAGTACCCAGGAATCCTGGCACCTGGCCAGTGTACCATCTCAACATCCATGTCACAAAGTCCCTGGGCAAGGTCCCAGGAAGAGTGGGCTCAAGTCGGAAGGCCAGCCACACCCCGGGCAGCCTGGGAACCCTAGGGAGGGCATGTAGCCAGCATTTCTCTGCTGGAACAGGGGAAAGCTGTGTTCGTCCAGCCCCCTGCCTCTCCCTAACTGGGTAAGGCGCGAGTGGGGGCTGGGAGAAGGGTGGGTGGGAGAGGCAGCCAGGCAAAGCCGGAGCCCAGTCCAGGGAGCAGATACACCATTCCTCCAACCTGGCACTTCTGGGAATATTCCCAGGCATGGCTCAGTCTCTGCAAAACCCCCTCCTCTCCTCCCCCCACAGTGCCTGAGCTGAAGAACAACATCCTGCAAGTGGAAGAGGAGCTGGGAGTGAAGGCCCAGCTGCCTATGAAAGCAGCCTAGACAGCAATTAGCCTGTCCCTACCCCCATCCCCAACCCCACCCTCACCCTACATACTGAGCAAACGCTGTAGATCCCACGCGCACCCCAGTCCTGCCATCTGGGGATGGGCACCCACTCTACACTGCCTGGGATGCTCCCAGAAGCAAAGAGGAAAGGAGCCCGACCTCCTTCCCCAGTACCCCAAGGGATCAGGTAACAGGGCTTCACACCTTTAAAGGCCATATGCTGGAGGCAGGAGTGTGGTGAGGAGAGCAGCCCCTGGACTTGAAGTCCTGAAAGGGAACTTCTCTGCTATCCCCGCAGCATCTCCCCCTATTATTTTAACGAGAGCACTCAAGAGTCCAGCAGACTACCTGAGATGGCTATGCAGGGCAGAGGATAAGCCTGCTGGGGGTGATGGAAGTCTGGGTCCCTCCACTAAAGAGTTCTGTGCCCTGAAGAACCCAGGAGCTCAGGCAAAGGGGGCTTACACTCCCTCAAATCCAGAGGAATCTGAAGGAGCAGAGAAAATCATTCGAGGGGACCTTTAAGTTCACAGACAAGTCAAAAGTTAACGTAGAGAGGAGGCTCTCATCCTACCTCCTTGCCCGGGGTCTCCGTGACCCTGGCCTCACCAGTCAGGGAGGGAGGCTGGGGAAAAAAGCAAGCTGAAACAGGGAGTGCCATAATCAAGGGGGACAGCAGGAGGGGGCAAAAGCTGGCATTACCTCCCGGCCAAGAGCCTGGGGAATTCTCCCGTAATAGGTTTTCTCCCGCCTCCTTGGGCCCTGGACAGGGCAGCTCCACCCCTGTCCTGACACTCCCACAACCAACCCAGACAACAGAGCCCCTAGAAACTTTGGCCCCACCAACCAGTGGCGCCCATCCACAGGCATAAAGTACCTGCAAGCGATAAGGCTGGCCCCGTCTGTTTGCGCTAAGACAGCCTGGCAGGGAAGGCTTTGGGGTGGAGTAAAAGAGCCAGCAGCTACGCAGGACTGGGCTGGGCATTCCAGACTTATTCAAATCCCGTTTCTCCACTTGGAAGTCCCACATCCGGATCAACCCCCACAAACTACCTCCACTCCTGCCTTCATGCAGGTACTTAATGACACAAGATATGGACCTCCATCTAGCCTTTGGCAGGGACACAAGGAGAAGGAAGAGGCGGGGTTGAAGGAAGGAGCAAGGAGAATCCGGCTTCAGGCAGGTCTTGGCAACAATGTGGTTTGCACCTGTTGTGCTAAACAAGCCTCAGGCTGCACCCTACCTGTCTGATCCGACAGAGACTGGGGAGGGGGATCCTCTTAGGTGGTAGCCCACCAGAGACCCCAACATCAGCAACTTCAATCAAGGATCCCCAAGGACCAAGCTTTTCATCTCTCTCTCTCTCTCTCTCTCTCTCTCTCAATCAAGGATCCCCAAGGACCAAGCTTTCCACCTCTCTTTCTTTCTCTCTCACACACATACAGATTCAAGCTACATTAAAAAACAATCTTCCCTATGCTTCCAGAGACTGTGCTCTGCCGTAAGCAGCCTCTTTTATTCCAACACACACCAGCACCCCCTCCACAGCTCAGTCACCAATGTTAAGCCATTTGCTTGGACAATCCAGACCTCTCCTAAGATAGTTCAGGCAGAAACTTTCCAACTGGGGAACCCTAGAAACTATCCCACAGCATTAAGAATAAGTGTTAAGAAAACAACTAGGGGTATAGGAGTGAGCTGACAAGCTGAGGAGGAGGAGACCCTTTTGGAAATCCAATCCTGGAAGGAGTCGGATCCCAGCAGCCCAAAACTCTGTGCCCCTTTCCCCACACTGTACTGAGACCCCCATCAGCAACTAAGTTCTGGGTGCCCTGTGCCAACTAAGGGACCCTGGGAGACTGAACTCTAGCCAGCCTCCTAATGAACTCTGAGGCTTCCACCTTGCATAGACCCCCGCCTCCCAAAACACATACACAGCACCCAGTAGACTCCAGTCCCATCTGGGTCTTCATCCCTTTCCAACCCCTAACCCCCAAGCCAGAGTTGCATCCTATACTCGCCCTCCATCATGCTAACCCCAAAACATTCTTTCGGTCCTCGCAACACTCATCTCCCGGCAACACCCCCCTCCTTCCTCCCCGCCACAAAACCAAAACGGAGAACCACGCTGAGATGCACGCTTTCCAGGGGGCACCTACCCGGCTGGCTTCTGCTCCCCCTGCCGGGGACCGGCGCCCCAAGTCGCAGCCTGGTCCCGCGTGCGCTCCCGAGGTCTTGCACACTCCCCCCAACTTTCGCAGCCTCCACCACTGGGACTCCCGGCCGCGCCGGACCCTGCTCTTAAGCGCTCCGTGACGCACGGGGAGGGGCGGGGGCGCCACTGACGCACGCGGCCCGGCGAGCTTTGGCCATACAAGGGCGCGGGGGGCGGCGCGGTTCCGGCGGGAGGCGGCCAGGGGGAGGCGCGGGGCCGGGGAGCCCGAGGGGGCGGGGCGAGAGGGGGGGCCTGGAATGTCTGCGCGCGTGACGCACGCGGGGTTCCATTGACGCAGGGAGCGCGGATTGTTTGATCTATAAATAGTCCCCTCGCGCCCGCCGCGCCGGCTAAAAATAGCAGCTCGCGGACTCGCAAGGCTCTGCTGGCCGGCCCCAAGACCCCGGCCCCCCGGGGCAGAAAATAGGCCCGAGGTCCAGAACCCGAGAAGAGGGCGCTCTAGCTCCGAGGCCGCGGGGCTTCCCCGGACGAGGATCTCCTAACCCTCTGGGTGCTCCTGGGAGCCACGACTGCGCCTGGCTCCGCCTCTGCACCTTCCCCAGCCTTCCCTGCTGGCTTGGGGTGCTACTGCCCGGCTGGGCGGCCGGGCAGGCCTTGGGCTGGGCAACTCAGGGACCCTCCCCCCCCCCGCCCCGGGGAACCAGCGGGGTCTCGTTCTGAGAGTTTGGCCAGGGACGGCAGACACCACAGTACCCATCACACAGACACACTCCCTTCTAGGGACGTCAGACACCACAGTACCCCACCACCACACAGACACACACTTACTCCCTACTCCCTCCCCCCAATTTCTTATGCAAAGTATCTTCTAGAGGGCAGGGATTCGCCAGGCTCGAGACAGGCCAAAGCTGTGCTTCACAGCTGAACTAGATTTCTCACCACTATCCTCCCCGGCCCCTGACAGGGTGAGAGCACTCTAATTGGGAAATTACCGAATTTCAGAACCGGGTGGAGCCTGAGAAATCTTATCGAATTTGTGCCGACTCTTCCCCATTTTATAAATAAACGGGCTCAGAGGAATAATGACACTTGCTCAAGGTCACAGAGCAAGGTGGTGGCACACGGGTGGAGCCTGACTACATCTCTAGGGGATCCCTTCTCCCCCTCCTCTGCCCATGAGCCCTCCCTCCCAACTCACCTCCAGCACCTGCAGTGTGTCTTTCACATGCACCAGGGCACAGGCCAGGCTGCAGCCACCTGCAGCCCTCCCTAGATGGGGCTGTCACCCCTCAAGTCCCTGGGGTGCCCCAAGTCTGGAGAGCCAGCACCTTCGATGAGACAGGAAGGAAAAAAGGCTGATATTTAGGAGAGCCCCTCCCCTCCCCCTGTCCACAAGGAGCCTGTGACCAAAGACGCCACTCTCGCTCCCTCCCCCCCCCCCCCACCCAACGGCACTTCCCTCTACCCTTGAGGCGCTTCCTGCTCCTCACTTCATTCTCACCTCCCTCTCAGGTTTCCCACAGCCTGCTCTCCAGCCCTCAGTTCTGCCCACTCAAGGGTCCCACCGGCACTTCAAAAACATCACCCATTCTCTACCATCTGCTGTCTCTGCACTCCTTGCCCACCTCCCATCTCTGCTTTTGAAGCCTCACACGCTACTTTTCATTTTCTTCTGAAATCATATTTTGGATTTGGATCCAAAATCCAAAATCTTGGATCCTCTATTCCTATCGCAGCCATGGCCCGTGCCTCACTGGCGCCTGAAGGCAGCAGACCATCTGAGCGAAGCCAGTGACTTGCCCTTCTCCCTGCCCACACCCACTAAGAAACCGCCCCTTCACCGTTTTGTCTCTTCAAACCCTACAATCCACGACGGATGGAGCAGGCTCCATGCAGTAACATCAGTATCTTTCAGTCAGAACCTAGCACAGCTCCCCCATCGCAGCATATGCTCTCAACACGGACCAGTCTTTGGAGAGCTCTGGCCTTTGCTAAACCGTCTTCCAAAGACCCTTCAAGGCCACCTTCATGAAGGTGAAGTGTGGGTAGGATGATCTTTAACCAAAGTTTTGTTTTTCTTTGTCTTAGGCTTTTGCATTAAGATGTTACTTGGGAAAAACACGAATTCCACAGTTTAAACCTGCTTTGAAATCACTAATATAATTCATGTCTTCCCATTTTGCAGATTAGGACCCAAGGGCGC